AAAAAAGTTTCACTACCGATAACAAACAATTTGCTACCGCTGTTTTCATACTGAAAATATTGAGGCTATTTAAATGAATTCAATATAATCCATAGTAACTGTACAGACAGTAACTTTGATACATTGAACCATCCTAAAAAAGTCAGGCTTCGGTTTCCAACACAATTTAATTCATATTAAATATGACAACGCACTTATATTTAAAAACTGATCAACTTTTGGAACTGGAGCAGCTGGTGTACCACAAAGTCCTGCTTTCAGACCACTGATCTTTGCTCAGGTATTATTCAGTTCAATTCTGTTTATTTATATACTGTAGTGCCAATTCACAACACATCTCAAGACACTTTACAATTCAACCAGACCATACAGTCAAATTGGTTCAAAGTTTTCTGTCTAAGGAAAACCAGTTGATTGCATTGACTCATTGACTTGAGGGCAATCCCTCACACTAAGCATGCCTGTAGCGACAGTGGAGAGGAAAAACTCCCTAACAGGAAATAACCTCCAGCAGAACCAGGCTCAGTGTGAGCGGCCATCTGCCAAGGCCGACTGGGGTTCAAGGAGACAGAAGCAGAGATACAAAAGGCAACTGTAAACCAGCTCCACAAGTGGCCATGTCCAGGAAACACAGCCAGGCAGATGAGTTCTGAGGCAGCTCCCATGTCAGAGGATGAGGAGAGCACATCCAGCCAGTCACAGCCAGAGATTACCAGGGATAATCTCACATTTCAAAATCAGAGGGAAAAAAAGTACATTATGTAAATATCTCAGAGTTTATTTCTTTTTCTCTATATAAATTGGGTTTAAGCTACATAAACACTTAAAAATTATTAAAAACTCTTTTTTTTTACAATAAGAATATGTCTGCAGGTTGAGACTGACTAATTGCACTATATATATAGTGAGCTCCCCTGAGCTCCTTTTCCTGAGTTGCCCTTTGTTCGGGCAAAAGTGCAAAGAGTTTAAAAGTTAACTGTAATTTGAGGTAGCTGAATTTCTAAGAGCCCCAGGATAAGGAGCTACACAAATAGAGAAATGATCACAAACTGTTAATAAATAATCCTCATTTGGACCATCATCAGTTCAGCAAAGACAGGAGATTAAGAAGTTAAACTGACTTTTGACTTTTTAAGTCAGTCTATTAACAATGACTTTGTTTTCTTCTCTTCCTATTCATTAAATGCTGTTTTCCTCTTGATCTTTTTTTTTAATTCCTTTTATACGTTCACATGCTTTGTAATCATTTTCATTTATTACTTTAAAGGATGAATTTTCTTAAAGACCAAATCATGGACTTTAAGTTTTTTCTAAAACGACACTGTCATGGTCTAAAGAGACAACATGATGCCTTTATGTTGTCACATGGTTTTAGTTTCCATCTCCGTTCAAATTAATTTTATAAAAGAGAAATAAAAGCTCATAACTTTTTAACCTATATATTTTTTTTTAGATTAACCTTTCAAGAAGCAGAAAATCTCTTAGGACAGAAGTCAAGCTTGTTTATCTTGCATCAGTGTTAGTACACTGAGGACGACACGACCCACCAACTGAAAATGGCTTCCTGAAAGAGATAATCAGAGGCTCTGGGGGGACAGACCCTGTAGGGACAGCTTGGAGCTTTTTCTACTTCAGTCGAAAAAAAAAATAATTTTACTGTTGATAGCTGTGACATGAACCTGTACTTAATGATAAAACTCTATCCACTAATTATCTTCTGCTATCTAAGGAGTCTCTATTACACAAGTAATAAATACATCTCGTAAAAAATAAAGGAAGAACAAAGTAATATTGAGTGTGAAATTATGCTAAGACAAAGATATGAAACATTGGTTATAGCAGTTAAGTTTGCCTCGTCTTTACCCAGTTTAATCTTTGGCCTCCCGCTGAAGTCTGGCTGAAGATAAAAGCTCTGATGGAGCTCTTGATCTGGCACTTTCTAAGAATCTCCACATCAGGATTGTTTTTGTCCGCAGGACTGATAAAAGTCATTTAATAATTGTCCCAGTCCAGCACTGCATAGAAACAGATAATAGCAATAAATATGTGTGAATTTTGATCAGGTTGTAATAGATCATACAGGAATAAAATCATTTCCAACTTTAGTATTAGTGAGTACTCAAGTTGTGGATGCAGATCCTCTTTTTAGTTAAAAGATACTTAGTTTTTTACAAACCGCAGGTCCAATAAATTTAGTTAATTTATTTTTTATTTAATTTTTTATTTACCATGCTTCATGTTGTAGCTCAAAGTCTGTATCTGTAGATAAAAATGATGGTTAAAAATCTTGAATTTTATATGTCACATTTATCTTTTCTTTTTTTTTTTTTGTTTTACAGTAAAAACTTGTAAGTACCAGTTTATTATTTATTTCCTAGTTTGTGTAAATGCAGGGTATAATTCCTTTTAGATTTCACATTCTTCTCCAGCATGGTTACACATTAGAATTCATGACGGTGCAGCAAAGTGTGCCAAAACCATGACACTTCCAACTCTATGCTTCACAGCTGGTACAGTATGAAAAGTTGAAGCAGTTTTGGGTTTCTGGCAGCTTTTTTAATCTCACCATGGTGATTACTCTCTAAACCAAGGTATAGATCTTTTATTTCCGAGTGGATCATCTAAATAAGTGGTCCTCCTAATTGTCAGTCATTCTGGTAATATGTTTACGTAAAGCCCTCCTATGTACTTGCTTTGCTTGGCTACTTTGCTACCTTCTTCTGGCCAATGCGCAATTTCAAGCATATGTCATTAAATTCACCTTTTTCTCTGAGATTCTTTGAAAATGGCCGAAGGTCGTAAGAGAAAAAGTGTCTAAGAAATGTATGAGAGGAAAAGAAAGGTGTCAGAGGTGGCAGATATATCCCAGAATGCTTTGCGCAGAGAGCTCTTCTAGCTATGTATTATGGGATTTGCTGTCACGGCAGCCTACTGTCACCATAGGCTGTCGTTATTTGACAGCAGTGAGTAATAACAAAGATGGCGCAGGCACTGTGCAATGTAGGCGGAGTTATGTGACCAACGGGGACAATAAAGCAGTGATCATCTGTCCGAAGGGTCAGTTACGGTTTGGGAATGGCGGACTAGTGGTTAGGGCATAGGGCTTGGAATCCTGAAGTTGTGAGTTCGGAACCTACTTCCACGGACTGCCACTCTGGCTCTCTGAGTTAAGGACTGGTTATCCTCCCCCAGCAGTGTGTCACAGTGAGCTTGTCGCAGATATTTTTGATTTATGCCCAATATTGAAGCGTGGTCTGTGCTATGTTATTCCACGCCACAACGCAAGAGGATCAATCATAGCTGTGGGTCTTGATACGGCCGAGGCGATGCGGAAGTGGTGGCAAGTTTGTGTGACAACAGAGGAACATGAGGAAGAAAAGAGCGGGGATCCAGGTGGAAAAAGGGGTCCCAGCGTTCTTGCGCACCTCGCTCTTCTAACTGGTCCATCTTCAAGAATCATTTTCCATAATGGTGGTCATACTGTAAGAGCCAAATAATCAAAATAAGCAATTTCTGATGTGGCAGCAGCACACGGCTTTGACACCTGGGTGGTGGGTCTGTCTAAGGTGGGCGTGAGTGTCACTAAGGTATGAATGGGAGTCATACTGGCGCACTGAATTTTGTATGTATGAGGAAGCCGGTGGTGGTCATAATTTCTGTTGACCGTGCTATGTTGTCGCTTTATTATTGGCATCATACTATGGTTTAGCCTGGTCAGTATGTGTCAGTCAATGTAAAGTCTGGATAATGATGGTCAAATGAAATAAGTCGATGACTGCAATTACAAGAAGCGGCTTGGAGTCTTTGAAGCACGTGTCAGTTGATGAAATCACTACGTTAATCCAGTGTGGCCCTCTACAACAGCGGTCCTTAACCACCGGGCCGCGGACCGGTACTGGTCCGTGGGTCCAAGAAAAAAAAAAAATAAAATAAAATATANCATTTTACTTGATCGTCTGTCCTCCTCCTCAGAGTTCATTTATTCATTGGGGGGAGTGGTGGCCTAGTGGTTAGGGCATAGGGCTTGGAATCCTGAGGTTGTGAGTTGAAACCCCACTCCAGTCCCAAACTGCTACCTGAGCAAGGACACTTAAAGATCAGCTTAACCCTCCTTCCTCGCAGGAGCAGGTACAGGGTTGTGTTTGTGCATTTTTTATAAAGTGGAGAGAGCAGATTATTTTTTTTTTTTATTCGAAGATCCTCCACAATACCTTTAAATTCTGAGGATAGGATATGTGTGCGGGATGTTAGTAAATCAATTTGAACCAACTTGAAGCTGCAACGAGGGGTGGTTGTAACATATTTATAAAAAAGAAAGCACAGGGTGTATTAGCTGTATTTTTTTAAACGAATGTATGATATAAAGTAAACGTTTATAATGTGCTGCCATTGAATCAGAATTAAATACTGACAAATAAAAAAACAATGTTTGCACTATTTTCTTTTTCATTATAATGATTAGTATGTATTAACAGCTTCCTAATATTTTGATGTGAACATCTGTAATGTTGATATTGACCCAGGAAAAGCCTTCAGATTAGACACATTCCACAGGAGTGGATTTAGAGTTGGAGCTGCTGCCTTTATTAGACCCCTCAGTTATAACTAACCTTTTCCATCTCGATCTGAACTCCAGGTGAGTTTGTTTACCTGCCTGCTCAGTCCCAGGCGGGAATGCTCCACCGCTGGGGGAGGTGGGGGACTCTGCTCCGCGAGCTCCACAAGGACGGACTGTACCACCTCCACGGAGAAAAGGAGGGGGGAAATCAGCGAGTGAAGCCAGGCTTTTTCTATCAAAGCTCGATTTTTGTCACTCTGGTCCAACATGTAAACAGTAACACATATTAGAAAATAATTAGAAATGTTTCTGCAGCAGACAAACACACTTTGATCAGTTTTGCTCCTTATTTTAGTGGCAGATAAGTTTGTTTTCTTCCCCCTTTTTTTTATGAAATCCGAGGCTCCGTTTTGCCTTCTGATTGACCGCTACATATATGTTTTTCTGGGTGCTGAATTTTCCCTCTGCAGGAAAGAAATAAAGCGACACCAGGAGACCGAGGAGATAAAGAGGAAAATAAGAGAGGTGGAGGAGAAAGTGTCATTACAGCAGCTTCGCGGGAAAACTGGATTGACAAAAAAAAAAAAAAAAAAGGGATCAAGAAGAAACTGAGCAAGTGGAGAGCGATAGTTGCCATATAATTTCTTGAGACCGTTCATTTTATTGGTTTGCTGCAATTTAAAAGGTATGTTTCTCTTTTCTTTTTTTTATTATTAGGGATATTAACATATTACCAGGGATTTTTTTTAATTGTTTTTTTTTAAATGTAAATCCTGTTTTGATAGTAAGCAATTTAAAGTAGATGATCCGCTAAAATGTATTTCACTCTCAATATTTATGATGTGTTTACAGAAAGCAGTTTTTTTTTATGAGCGCCTGTTATTGATGCACACATGTGGCACAGCCAGTGGGCTCTTTGTTGCTCTCTCTCTCCTCCAGCTTTGCTTCAGTAAAGTGGCCGCAGCATGGCAGGATATAGGCCAATATTGACATTTGTTTCTTGCCGCATGAACTTATGTGATAAATGGAAGACCCCTCCTCCTTTTTCCCTCTCCCAGCTCTCCCTCCTCCATTTCTTTTCTTCCAGCCGCATCCCTCCTTTCCTTTGTGCTGTTTAACACTTTATCCCAGCTTGTTTTACGGTTCAGTGCGTTTTATTTACAGCGAGGTTTCTTTTTTTGTTGTTGTTTTCTTCGCCCAACGGGAGGTGCTGAGGGGCAGGCGCCACATTGCCAAATATGTGTCAATGTCAAATGGAGGTGTGTCCCTTGTGCGCGTGTGCGTGTGGGGGGCCCCGTGTTGGGTTGGATGCGAGAGCTGATATTTAAGTGTGTGTTTCACAGGGAGAATGTCTTCCAGTTGCATGTGTTGGCTATCTGGGGCGCGCGGAGCAGAAGCGAGGTGCAGTAGGAACGCAGCAAGGGAAGCTCGCGCGCTGCTTCTGTGAGTCATACCGCATTTAGAGGCTCGCGCTGCTTTAGTGAAGTGGGGCTCCTGCTGATTGCGTGCACGCGCATACTCACACATCCTTGCAATAAGTAGGAGTTATTTATTTATTTATTTTTAAAGATTCTCAGGGATGGAGAAATGTGGGCTCACGATCACAGGAAATGCACCTGTCTGCATCAGGTGCATTTCCTGTTCTCATGAGCCCACGTTGGGCTCATGAGAACAGGAAGGTTGGGTTGGTAGCAACACAAACAGAGAGGAGGGGAAAGGTCCCTTATTGAGAGGTGTTCTTACAGAGGCCTTCTTTTTCCTTTATTCACATTATAATATATTTTAAAGGGGTCATAGAATGCAAAACCGAGTTTACATTGTCATAGATTAATATTGATCATTCAGTGGGTGAAATGGAGGTTCAGGGAAGCTCACCGTCAACACCTACTTTCTCTGCTAATCTCACAATTCTAAACTTCCAACATAAAACGGGCGAATCCAAACGAAGTCCCGAGATGACCTTAACTCGGGGATGTTGCCTTATTTGGTTCTGGCCTGTACTTTTGTCACGCCCTGAAATTGACATACAGACCAGCCCACTGGTTCACTGGCCCAAAGGGGGGGGTTGGTACGAAGTGTCGACTGCTGGGCCGCTGACTGGACCGGACCTCACCAGAGAGCCAGGAACCAACCATCCTCAGCCGGAGGAGGGGGACTGGGGGCCGGTAAGGCAGGCGGGCAGAAGCACGGGGCCGCCGGTGTCTAGGCTACGTCACCGGGTCGGGTTTTGTCGCACTGTCTCCCGCTGGCTCGGTGCCCCTTGGGTTCATGGATCATCCAAGGACCTGACGACTTGATTCGAATGCCTGGTGTGTTTCCACTATGTGCTGCACTGTAGTCGACCAAAATCCCAGACGATTTTTTTTAGGTTTGAAAAGTAGGACATGTCCGGGAAAAAGAGGACGTCAGGTCACCCTACCATATCAACAATTTGATGTTTCAGTGAGTGAGTGCTTGTTGCTATGATGCGTCTTTGCTCAGCAGTTTCACTCGTTGTAAACCACCAATCAGCGCAAAGCTCATCTTAATATTCATGATCACACCATAAAAGGAAGAAAACCTATCATTTCATTCTAGGGCTTTTAACCAGGCTTGCATTAGGGCTCATAGAAGAGCAAATATGCCATTTTCAACCCGACCAATGTTACACCCAGTATTCAGAGACCTTAAGGACCAGCACCAAATACCCTATAGAATCATTCTATGACCCCTTTAAGCCTAAAAAACAGAATAAATGAGAGCAAACAAACCTACCCATCAAATAGCACATGTTATTTAGACATTGGTTTTTAGGCCAAATCTGGTCGGTCTGTCATAGTCCAGAAATAGTTGTGGGAAATTAGGCTGTGTTTGGGCAGTCTCATTCTGTCCCACTTTAGTCCAATAATAGGCACTGAAAAGATGTTGCAAACCCAGTTTCAACGTCTTTTCAACGATCTGAAATTTTTTTTCATCTTCACTTTTCAAAAAAATCTAGACATCCTTTGCATATAAATCATGTCGCCTTTTCAATGTATTTTTAAACTGTTTTTGGGTAGGCTACTTTTACGAACACATGGAATCATCAACCATATTTTCAGTCGTTGTACTCAGCTACAACTCAAACTGTACGACTGAAGGGTTTAAAAGTTCACAGTTTACGATGCATGTTGTTACAATGTACGGCGCAACACTCTAATGCGATCTAACAGCTAACACTCTACATCCAAAAACCACACCTCGGACTCAGCGCTGAGAGATTGCGCTGGTTGGACTCGTGAATCTAGAAGAAGAAGAACTCCCTTTTTTGCAAATGCGCAGTGCACAAGATCCTGGTAAATCGGCTAGTTCACTTTTTAGCACACTTTTTCGAACCTTTGTGCCACAGAAGGAGAAACCCCCCAGATCCCCCCTCCCATGTACTGGCTGATGGTATGGTCTGATCTTCGGCTTGGAACTAAGACCCATTTAATAAAAAACAACCTTTCAATTTGATGTGGTCCAGTCAGGCGTGGAAACCTGCATTTTCCTGGGGCCAAATGTGACTGAATTTACAAAGTGGCTGGTAAATTTCAGCCCACAAGCTAGAGTGGTATTGTTGTAAATCAAACAGATATACAGCTGACACCTATAAGCAATAGTTGACTGTGGAACAAAGGAAAGAAAACTATTTGCAAGTTTGAGACAAGGCACTTTTAACACCATACGTTACTTACAGATTTGGCTGTGTTTTAAAGTGTGCATTTCCTGAATGACTGAAGGAAACGGATACTGTTAAAGCTCTTGGATTGGTTAATATAACTAGAAAAGCATCATATTAATTCAGTCCTTTAACCACTTCGGTCACCAGTGGAGCTGAGTTGACACTAGACTGCTGCACATGTTGTTATTGGTAGAAAATAGTTGAAATAAGTATTATGACATTAGATACCAGTTTCCCCAGAAGGATAACTAGATGAGCCTTGCAGTATATAATTAGAGGTATCATTTTTAACAAATGCACCAATTATATAAAAAAAACTGCAAGATTTATGAACTCTAAATATGCAATGCAAAACTTTGCCCAGATCCTCCTTTTTTACAAAAGTAAATACCCATAAAGTGAATTTTTATATCATGATTACCTTGGTCACCTGGTGTAAAATAAGGGAGGACCTATATGACATAATAGAGACAAGGAGAACAGAAGTGATCACTGTGGACCTGCAAAAGTGAATATCAGGGCGATTCTTTCTAAGAATGAGGAAATTAGTTTCATGGTTCCTCTCGGAAGTGGATGTAAATCAGATTTGACCTACCAGCATAAGTCAGCATCAGCCTAATGATTAGGGGTGTGGAAAGAAATAGTTTTGGCAATATATAGTGATTTTTGGCTGCCTGATATAATATCGATCTTTTAGTTCCTAGCATTTTTTTTTTTAAATAAAACATTTTTGCATAAAACTGAGGGAAAATAGGCTAGCTTTGTACCGCCACTCTGGCAGATGGTGCTGTGGAGCCCTTTAGCTGTGTGGTGGAGTGATAGCAAGAAAAATATCGCAATATATGGTGATATGGCAATATGGTGATAATATCGTATTGTGACCCAAGTATCGTGACATGTATTGTATCGCAAAACCCACGCCGATACAGTACTTTCCCCTACTAATGATGTCAAACACCAGAGTCAGAGAAGCTAGAGCTAATAATGCAGGTTTTTGGAACTGTTGATGAGGAATCTGAAACCGTTGTAGATCTTTAGGAAAAAAAACAATTCTGGAAAGAAAAGTATTATCCTCAAAAAGAGTTGTTTTTGCTGAACTTTAAGTAAAGAGTTATAATTTGACTCAGTGTTAATCTTTGTTAGAGAAGAACCAAATATCTGATTCCCAGTAAAGGTTTCTCCATTTTTTGTTTTGATGGATATAAAATCCCAACTGAAAGATATTTTACTGAGAGGGCAACATCCAGAAAAACAATAAGGACAGCTCACATCATTTCATCTTGTGTCAGTTTGGTTTAGCATTTTCTGATTCATGGCTACTAGTTTGTTAATATCCGATTGGATCGGAGAAAACTTGGTTGGTGCATTTTGCAGTGAAGGCACATGTTTTTTCCCTCTTAATAGGGTTTAAATACATTTAAAATTACTTTAATTCCTCATGAACACTGTAAATTATTTTTCTTTTTTGTTTTTTTAACCCTACATGGTGTCCAACACGTTTCCCATCCCTATCTGCTAAAGTCACTATAAACATCCTATTGTTCTTCAACCTTTTCTTTTGCTTCGGAGCTGATTGTGTTAGTGGGAAGACAAAACGTACACTTCAAAACGTTTCTGCTCTTCTAATCTGGTTTATCTATTTAGGTCACAGAGACAAATGCTCCTTCTATACTTTAAGTTTATGATTATTCCACAGATGCTGGATTGCAGCAGATGGACTTTGTAACAATTCCTAAGCATTAAGACGTCTTTAATATCAGAAGATAATGTCATTGTTAAATGTCAGGATGACCCTCTAGATTTGAATTAGTTCTGACATGTTTATGGCTTCTTCAAGATAACCTTAACTCCCCATAGCAGTAAAGATCAGCTCAGCAAGCTTTACTCAATATTTCTTTGTTCACATAAAAATTTGTGTCTCTGGAATCAGAGGATCAAAGACACAGATAACTTACAAGTCAGGAAGAGTGGGCTATTTTGTAATGTAAATATTCATACAGACT